CGCCCAGCGCTGTAGACTACTCACTGCGCCCAGCGCATCGACTACTGAGGACTACGCACTACTACCTCAGAGCTACCACTGAGAAGCGCCTAACATACCTCAGTGAACTGCCTGAATAACTACCTGCCTAGAATGAGGTTGGCCTAACGTTGGGGCTAGTGTCGTAGGCCGAAAGGAAACAGTCTGGCTGAAAGGAAAACTGGTCTGACGCCAAGAACAGGAGTCTGTTCTGGCGCCAAAAACGAGAATACGAAAAGTCTGGCTTCCAAACGTAGGAGTCTGGCGAAAATGGCAAAAAGTGGGGACCAGGTGAGAATACGAAAAGTCTAGCGCCCAAACGCAACCCTACGAAAACCCCTAACCCTACTGTCTTGCCCTGCGGGGCCTGTGTGGAACTGAGTATGCCACCCCCTCCCCTCCTTGAAAGACCAAGCCTACCTGCGTGGGCGAAGCTGTCTATTGGAGGGAGGGACTGAAGTCCAGGTGGGAAGCCTCCTTGGCTAGTCGTTGCTTCTCGTAGTTTGTCAAAGATAAGCGGTGCGGAAGCTTGCAAGTCTGCTTGTGAAATCCGTTGTCGTACCAAATACCCTTACAAGGGTATTTGGCGTGTTTTCTGCAAGTCGCACGAGTACGGCCTCGCCCTGGTGAGCGGCGCGCGCAGGGTATCGGCGACAAGCTGCAACTATGCGCGACATGAAAGGGGCGCGCCATGGGTGTGCGAGGCGCCATGGGCCAGCAGGAAGCGCGACGATTAGTTATATTTTGTATCGTTTATTGCTGTACTATTTTTATTTGTAGGCTCCGACGTGTTTTTTTTTTTTTTTTTTTCGGTCGTGAAGCCAGATTTAATGATCGTCACGGCAGTCAAGGACACGCCGGTGGGTGGATAGCCCTCGGAACAGAGGAAACCTGAATGGCGGGGGTTGTCGCGGATGCATAGCCTGCCGCCCGCCAGCTGTAGTGGGAAGTTTGAGTGTGAGCAGGTCCACTTGGCCCGCGAGGTGGTGAACTCGCCTGCGATAATAGGACCGCCAGGCGAAGGCCCGCAACAGTAGTGGCTGCGGCAACCGTTCCCACAGAACCCGCCTCCACTACAGCCCTCAAAGTTCCCATTTGAAGGGTTGTTATTGTCACCAAGACCTGCGCTGGGAGTGGCACAGCAGAGACCGGGGAGTGGCACAGTGGAAGTCTGTGGGGTGGCACAGTGAAAAGGGAGTAGTGCGGATCTGCAGAACGTGGTCAGACCGGCGCGCAGGGGCGAAAGACTGACGGAACCGCCTGATAGCTGGTTCTCTCCGAAGCTTCCCACAAAATAGCTGATGCTGTGGAACAGCTTTGGTGCTGTCGGATCAGCCTCTGCCGGACGCAGCATTAGGAAGGCAGCAAGGGCAGGCACGAGGAGAGTGGATTTTTTTTGGGCCCACTTTCACACTAGGTGCATCCGGGACAGGAAGAACGCAGCACACACAGAGGGGAGTGAAGTTCCCGAGAGAGGGACGAAACCTGAAAGGAGGGGATGAACCCGGGCATGAAGATGCACCTTGTGCGTTAAAAAAAAATTAAAATAAATAAATAAATAAATAAACTAGGCTGAACTCCGGGCCGCCCGGCGCCCGGGCGGGGGGCCGGGCCGCCTGGCCGGTCGTTCTGCCCGGTTGGCCACCGGGCGACCCCAGCGCATCCTCGA